GTTTTTTTGTTGTATTTGCGTATTTGTACTAGTTGTATCTGTATTTCAAATTTGATCAATAATAATGTTGTTTTCTTTTAGATCATGGATCGGTCTCGAATTCAAAATGGAGATATATGTCTTGCAGATTGTGCCACAACTCATACTATACTCAAGGACAGAAAATATTTTGTCAACTTGAAGTTTAATAAAGCAAAAGTAAACACAATATATGGAAATGCAAAGATAATTGAGGGTTCTGGAAAAGCCATATTTTTTATGATGGGAGGTACAAAGTTTACATTGAATGATGCATTATTATCCCCGAAATCAACAAAAAACTTGTTGAGTTTTAAAGGTATCCGAATGAACGGATACCATGTTGAAACAATGAATGAAGGGAGAGTTGAATATCTTTGCATTACCTCAAATGTTGCGGGAAATAAATGTGTTTTGGAGAAATTGCCAGCTTTGTCATCGGACTTATATTACACCCGCATTTATATTATTGAGACTTATGCTGCAACAAAGTCACAGGCGAATGAAATGTTTAAACTTTGGCATGATAGACTTGGTCATCCTGGCTCGATAATGATGCGAAGAATTATTGAAAATTCTAGTGGACATCCGTTAAAAAATCAAAGGATATTGCAAACACATGAATTGACATGTGCCTCATGTTCTCAAGGGAAATTGATAATAAGACCATCACATACTAAAGTCGGGCATGAATCACCATTATTTTTAGAAAGGATTCATGGTGATATATGTGGACCTATTCATCCACCTTGTGGTCCATTCAGATATTTTATGGTATTAATTGATGCTTCTAGTAGATGGTCTCACGTGAGTTTGTTATCCACTAGAAATGTGGCATTTGCTAAATTGCTTGCCCAACTTATCAAATTAAGGGCTCAATCCCCAGATTATATTATCAAAAGGGTCAGACTGGACAATGCTGGAGAATTTACATCTCAAGCATTTAATGATTATTGTATGGCTGTGGGAATTGATGTTGAACATCTTGAAGCACATGTTAATACTCAAAATGGTCTAGCAGAATCATTGATCAAACGATTGCAGCTTATAGCCAGACCATTGATAATGAGGACAAAACTGCCCACTTCAGTATGGGGACATGCTATTCTGCATGCAGATAATCTAATTCGCATAAGACCAAGTGCACACCATACATACTCGCCATTACAGTTGGCATCTGGTCGAGAACCAAATATTGCACACATAAGAATTTTTAGTTGTGCGGTGTATGTACCAATTGCTCCGCCCCAACATACGAAAATGGGGCCTCAAAGAAGGTTGGGAATATATGTTGGATATGAATCTCCATCAATAATAAAATACCTTGAACCAAAAACAGGTGGTGTTTTTACAGCTCGGTTTGATGATTGTCATTTTAATGAAGAATTATTTCCCCCTTTAGGTGGGAATGAAAAGTCAATTGAGAAAAACATTGAATGGAGAACATCATCACTATCATATCTTGATCCTCCCACCAAACAAAGAGAGCAAGAAGTTCAAAAAATTATACATCTGCAGAATATTGCAAATCAATTGCCAGATGCATTTACTGACACAAAAAGGGTGACAAAATCACATGTTGCAGCTATAAATGCCCCTGCTCGAATTGAGATTACAAAAGAAACGACAAATGACGATATACCAAATGAGTTAAAGGCACGATTGAAACGAGGAAGGCCAGTGGGGTCTAAAGATAAGAATCCTCGAAAGAAAAGAGAAATTCAAGATTCGAATTTGAAAAAGAATCAAGATGATGGAAAATTTTCGGAACGAAATGAAAATATTGAAATTTCCATCAATTATGTAAATAACGGGAAACTTTGGAAGCGTGATGAGATCATTGATGATGCTTTCGCATATATGGTATCACAAGAAATTGACAAAGAAGTTGAGGATCCTGAACCAAAATCTATAATTGAATGTCAGAAAAGACATGATTGGGAAAAGTGGAAAAGTGCTATTCAAGCCGAGTTAAATTCGCTTAATAAACGAAAGGTTTTTGGACCTATAACCATTATACCCAAAGACATAAAACCTATTGGGTACAAGTGGATTTTTGTCAGAAAAAGAAATGAGAAAAATGAGATCACAAGATATAAAGCTCGCCTTGTAGCACAGGGATTCTCCCAAAGGCCTGGGATTGATTATGATGAAACATATTCCCCTGTTATGGATGCAATTAGTTTCAGATACTTGATTAGTTTGGCCATCCATGAAAATCTTGAAATGCGTCTTATGGACGTTGTGACTGCTTACTTATATGGATCACTAGACGCTGACATTTATATGAAAATTTCAGAAGGAATTAGAATGCCCGAAGCACTAAAGTCCAAACCTAAAGAGTTATGTGCGATAAAGCTGCAAAGATCATTGTATGGCTTGAAACAATCAGGGCGTATGTGGTACAATTGTTTGAGTGAACAATTGCTTAAACGGGGATACATAAATAATCAAATATGCCCATGTGTTTTTATAAAAAGATCACAAGATGGAGTTGTGATAATTGCTGTCTATGTCGATGATCTTAATATTATTGGGACTACAAATGAAATTCAAGAAGCAGTCACTTTACTAAAAGGCGAATTTGAAATAAAAGATCTCGGACAGACCAAATATTGTCTCGGCTTGCAAATAGAACGGGTCCAAAATGGGATATTTGTCCATCAATCTAATTACACTCAAAGAATACTGAAACGATTCAATATGGACAAGGCTAATCCACTTAGTGCCCCAATGGTCAATCGAACATTAGGTATCGAAAAGGATCCATTTCGACCTTGTGATGAAGATGAAGAGATACTTGGTCCTGAAATACCATATATGAGTGCCATAGGAGCCCTTATGTATCTTGCTAATTGCACTAGACCAGATATATCTTTCGCTACCAATTTATTAGTAAGATATAACTCGGCACCTACGACGAGACATTGGAATGGAATTAAGCATATATTCCGTTATGTCCAAGGGACAATCGATTTGGGACTGTTGTTCTAACAATAGAAAACATGAAATAATCGGTTTTGCAGATGTAGGATGTCTCTCAGATCCCCATAAAGCAAGATCTCAAACTGGATACGTCTTTACGATTGGTGGAACTGCATTTTCTTGGCGTTCCCAGAAACAAACATTAGTTGCGACGTCTTCAAACCATGCCGAGGTCATTGCATTACATGAAGCAACTAGAGAATGCATCTGGCTCAGAAACATGACTCAACATATTCAACAAGCCAGTGGACTATCGAACAATAATGACCCGACGATGATATACGAAGACAATGCAGCATGTGTCGCTCAAACCAAAGAATGATACATCAAGAATGATAGAACTAAACATATCCCGCCAAAGTTATTCTTATATGCGCAAGAGCTTGAAAGAAACAAACAAATCACAGTTCAATACATTCGATCAAGCGATAATGCAGCAGATTTGTTTACGAAGGCGCTTCTGACGACAATATTTCGAAAGCACGTGCACAATATTGGGATGAGGCATCTTCGGAATTTGCACGGATGATAATTCGAGGGGGAGTATGTGCGGCTGTACTCTTTTTTCCTTATCTCGGTTTTTTTCCCACAGGGTTTTTCCAGATAAGGTTTTTAACGAGGCAGCATAAACGCACATTTAATAGTGGTAATTCCAAGGGAGAGTATTGTAAATATATGTGGAATTAACTACTTATAATAGGTTTATCACTTTTATTATTTTATTATATTAGTGTGTTGGAATGTCAAATGTGTGCCCCTTTGCCTATAAAAGGGGCCAAATGCATTGTGATGTTAGTACCGAAAAGTGAGAAGAAAAGAAAGAAAAGCTTGTTGTGATTTATATCCGGTTCTTATACATTGTGTTCTTTATATTCCCCGTATTTCATAACAGGATAAATATTTAATTATAGGTTCAGTATAATTTCAGTCGTTTGGGACCGAAATTGCAACAATAATTAAGATTACATGATTTAAATTGTTAATAAAAATCTTTTTTTTTTATTAGCAATTTAAGTCCTGCAATTCTAAAATTTGTTGCATCTTCAGTTCCAAAGGACTGAAAGCTTGAAGTCCCTCCTGTTGTTGAATTAGGTCATGCGTTGAATTTTAAAACCATAGAACCAAATAACAAAATGTTTAATTCTTAGTATTAAAAACGCCACTGGATCAAACCAACGTGACTAAAATTACAATTTTGCCTTAAAAATATATAAAATTCTATATATTTACAATATTTATATTATAAATATACTATACATTTATGAATAAATGATATTTCATTATAAAGTTATTTTACACTTGTTAAAAAAATTTACAATCATGTCCGGTTTTGCTACGAAGCCAACAGTTGGCTCCATAGTAGAGTCAACCTTCTATATACAACAAGTAAACCTACCATATAGAAAGTTGACTCCACTATGGATCCAACTGTTGGCTTCATAGCAAAACCGCAATTATGTCTTAGTAACAGAATTTTTTTTAACCAAATAACACAAATAAATTTGTCATTTGTGGTGGATGTGATTGATGATGTACCAATAAAGTGGCTGAGAATATTCAACACAGTTTATTATACCTTGAGAGGAGCTTTATGAACAGTTCAACTAACAGAATAAGGAAGCCAATCATATAGTTATATGCTTACCAATAGTGACCAATTATTTCCCCACATGAATTATGGCTTTAGGATATAAAAAAGATTCTAAATTCCAGTCAATTTTATATCCAAATTTAAGTTGAAATCATTCAATTACTGGCAAGTGAATTGAGCAGGAAAAACCTCAGAAAATTATGAGCAGTTTTTAGAAGTAAATTTTAACATGTGATTTTTACAGTTCTTATCATTATTATTCGAAATTTTTGCGAAAAAACTCGGCGTTTATTTTGACGACCCTTGAATCTGATCACGCAGCTTCTCGTATTTTTTGAGCTCTGCCATTGATAGTGAAGGAGATAGGTCCCTTAGTACCTTCAAGGAATAAACAGAATATATCACGAACGAAAAAAAAAAAATATATAATAATAACAACAACGTCAATAATAATTATAATAATAATTTTAAAAGTATAATTAGGCAAGTCTAACGGTTGGTTAGTCATACTTTCATACTGAAACGACACACTCTAAAAACCAACGAAAACAAAAGCATGTCATTTCATAGCATAAATATTCATTTTCGTTAAAAATGTTACAAAGGTCAACCCATATAAGGATTATGCATGAGAATTTGTGAATAATAATATTATTATTATTTTGAACAAACAAAAAAAAAAAAAAATCATCAAATGGCGAAAAATCAGTTACTTTTTGACTTTCTACTCCCATAAGCTGCTTTGGATTAGTTCAAATCAGTCAAATTAGTTCAAATTATTTTTATCTTTATATCACATTTCTTCTGCATAGCATAATCTTTTCATACCTCAACAAAATCCTCATATTCAACTACGACGGCATCAGATTTGTCTGTCGATCCCCGTTCTGAATCTTCATATGATGCCTACAACAAAAATACTTATGTAATCGATAAAAGAGCCAGACTTTAAATGAATTGCAGAATACTTCTGCGCTCTCTCATACTTTGCGTTTTGCAGCGTGAAACCAAGCATCGGCACATAGTGCATACATATCAGCGCCAGTAAAATTTATCGGGCATTTCTGTGCAATCTCGTATAATGACACATCCTCGTGCAATTTAAACTTCCGAGTGAGTGCTTTGAGTACCCTGCAAAGAGTGTGATCAATATAGAAAATGTAGTTACGCGAAGGTAGTTAGGCTAGTAAATGAGCCAGAAATCGAGCTCGACTCGTTTATGACTATTAACGAGCCGAGTTCGAGCCGATCTCGGCTCGTTAAGACCTCGAGCTCGAGCCGAGCCGAGCCGAGCCAAGACGAGCCAGACGAGTTTGATTTAAGAGCAGGTTGAGTGCAAGACATATGAACTAACCTCTCTCTATAAGATGCTTCAGAATTAACACCAACATAAAGGAGCTTGTCAAATCTGCCCGGCCGCAAGAGGGCCGGGTCAATAAGATCTGGTCGGTTGCTAGCTCCTATTATAAACAGATCCTATTGAATCCCAAGTAAAAATAGAATTAAAAAAGAGGAAAAAGAAACAGGAAAACTTCAAAATTGAAGAATGTCAAAGAAGTTATATTTTTAGTCCTGTTGGTATAACGCAGGGCAATTTAGTCCAAAGTTTCAGCTTTTGGTCTTGTGATTTAATATTTGCAATTTGAGTCCTCAAATGAATGAAATTGCAGCATAATATTAAATTAGAGACTGAAATTGCAACAAAATTTAAATTGCAACACTTAAATTGCTAATAAAAAATTCATGTCAAAGATATAAATATGGGAATTTGTTGCACTGTCAGTCCTCATGCAAAATATTAAATCACAGAAGCAAAAGGCAAAATGTTTAGAATCTTGGGATTGCTATGGCGTTAAACCAACATGACTAAAAATGCAATTTAGCCAAGAAGTTATTCCCCACCTGGGAAGAATCATTAAGGCCATCAATTTCTGCAAGCATCTAAAAAAAAAAATAAAATCACATTAGATAATGTGTCAAAGGAGGAACAAGTTAATCACTTTTTTTTTTTTTTTTAATATAAAAGGTTTACAAAAATCACAATTGTTGTATACACACATGCATACATCATATTAGTGGTTACAATAGAATCTTCTTTTTCTAATCAAACTATAATTTTTTGTAATCATAAAAAATATCATATTTACCTGAGAAACGACTCTATCCATAACACCACCAGAATCTCCAGAGGCACCTCGGGCAGGGGCAAGCGAATCGAGTTCATCAAAGAATATAACACATGGACGAGCTGCTCGAGCCTAAAAAACAATTCCACAATTTAAATTTTAGCTTAAGATTGTGTTGAGTAAGCATCTCACTAGTTACTCAAGAGGTTGTAAGGATATTTTTTACCTTCTGAAAAATGTCCCGTACATTCTTCTCTGACTCACCTATGTACATGTTGATCAACTCGGGTCCTTTAACACTCAAGAAATTCAAGGAGCATTCTGTAGCAACAGCTTTTGCTAGTAAAGTCTGACATTTTTTTTTTTTTACACAAACACAAATTTGAATAAACCAAGCGCGATAAAAATGTTAAAAATCAATAAATTGGATAGCCACAAACTTACTTTTCCAGTTCCTGGAGGACCATAAAGAAGAACCCCAGATCGCTTACGCAATCCAGATGAAAATAAATCTTTATGAATGAGAGGAAGCTGCAAATGTAATTACAAAAGCTATATCATGAATTGAAAAATATACTCAAATATTGGCAAGAAGAATATACCATTGTCTCAAAAATTTGCATTTTGACCTACTTATTTGTAAGGGAAAAGAATGAATCGCTATCCTTCGTAAAATAATGTTGAAAATGTCCAATATACATTCCTACTAATGAAGAGATAGAAATAATAATAATAATAATAATAATAATAATAATAATAATAATAATAATAATAATAATAATAATAATAAATACATTACCTGAATGGTGTCCAAAATCGATTTTTTTACATCCTCAAGCCCACCAACATCGTCCCATTTCACGTTGGGTACCTAAAGTATATATAACGACTTTCATTTTCTTTTCTGAACCATTAAATGAATAAGTAGATTAATAATTATATAAAAGCATGGGCTCAAGTCAGAAAATGACATGCAAATATTTTCCAGAAAAATAACTCGCTTAAATAAACATCAAAAGAGCGAACAAAGGAGTATACTTCACCTTTGGAGTCCCTAGAGCTGATGCATTTCTCTTCTTTGATCGTTCTAGTGCTTTGATTAGGTTTTCTTTACCATCATCTGTAGGTGCATCATTTATTTTGCTACTAGCATAAGTCGAATCAGAGTCAACTGAGAAATGCTTCGACTTTTCAGGATCCATCTTCTCATTCTTGGGTATTATTAAATTTGCACCAGCATCAGCAATTAGAGCACGTAGGTCCCTGGGAGTGAAACCCGACGTCTGTCCAACTATATCCTTTATGAGATCCTCGATTGAAATCTGCAATGATAAACCTTCTGACCTCTCAAAAATGTAATTCATGAACAATGTACCGAAACCACATTGAAAAAAAATAATAATAATAACAGTTCAGTAATAAATGAGAGAGAGAGGGGACAAAATGCTGGTTTTGCTCATTCATATTCGACAACTTCTTCGCGAATTATCTAAACAGTCTCATTTTCCATGGCAGAAATTTTTTTTAAGTCTTCTAATATTGTCATTGATTGCAACACTGGGGCCGTGCTTGTTTATAAAAAAAAAACTAGAAAAAAAACTGGTTTTTTTCTGGTTTTTTGTGTCACCTAGAGTTCATTTGAAAAAAGTTAATATGGTTAGTTGTTAATGGAATTTTAAGAATGTATTAAAATAATATTTAAATAAAATAATTAAAATTGATTTGATGTAAAAGTAGGAGATAAATGATTGGAAATGATAGGTAACTAAAATTATGTGAGTGGATGAATAGTGAATTAAAGTTGAAGTGATGTGTAAGAATGATTGAATGATATTAAATTATATTGATAATATTGAGAATAGTGGGATGGAGTTAAAGTTGAGTTAGATTTTGAATTGAGATAGATTTTTTTCTAGTTTTTTTCTAGGAATTTGATAAACAAGCACGGCCTGAGCAATCAATAATTTAAAGAAATATCATTTTCAGCAGAAAATTTGTATAAGCCATCTTACTTTACAAGATAAACACGCAAACTCTAGTGGAGAGCAAAAAGTAACATACATTTGGAAGCAGTTCAGAGACATGTTGAAAGGACTGTGTAAGCAGTTGAGACCTTTGTTCTTCATTCAAAGCTTCCATTTTAATTTCATGTGTAAAACAGCGCCTAATAGTTGCCGGAAGGCCTTCAGAATTGTCTGCAGTTGCTACTAGCAGCACTGTGTGCTGGTTTACCATTTCACTCGCCTTTAACTGCTGCTCAATGAAAGAAAAAAGAGAATAAATATGTTATAATTGAGTTACGCCCATGAAAGTTCATACTTCTATGGAGCAGTGCTTTACAGAAACATCAGAGTTGAGGTCAGATTATTGATGTTTCTTGGAGGAAAAAAAAACTCTCGATAGTGTTTCTTCTTAAAATGAACATTAATCGTGTCTTATAATGATTTACAAGGAATAAAGATGAAAAAAAAAAACGTATAGTGGAAGAAGCTTGGAGAAGCTAAACACTGCTGATCAAATCGGATTTGAGAACTAACTAGTTTTTCAGCCGAAGGGAAAAATGCTAATTACATGATTAAGCAATTTTTTCAACTTACATAAACAGAATCACCGTGTAAGTTTTCTTCAACGTAGTCTTCTTCATCGTGTATTATTGGCTCAGTGAACTGCTTGATAACGGAAGCAACTTCGGCATTAACTCCAGCCTGCTCATGAGAAGATCCCTCTTGAGCAGCTAGATTACGGAAAACCTCAAAACGACGGAGAAGAAGAATTGTTGGACAATACCTACAATAGTAGTAAGTAGTAACATGACAACTATGCAAAAATAAAATGAATCTGCATGCTTTGCCTTGTAGTACCGAACGGTTATACTTAAATAGAATCCACCGTATTAAACTAATACTTTGAAGTTACAAGATTTATAAGAGAGCGAAGTTTGCTTCTTAACGATTAATACCAAATAGGAATTAGAATACCTTCGAGCAGTATTAAAGGCTTCTGCTAGAGCAATAGATGTTTTCTTTTCAGAAGATGTCACAAAATTATGACAACTATATTCGACCACATGCAATCCCAAATGACGAGCAACACACTTAATCACAGTTCTCTTCCCACAACCTACAAATCACCTTCTGGTGTCAAGTACATGAGAACTGAGGATCCCCACAAAACATAATAACAAAATAGATATCTCATGTTAAAAAAAATAATAATAATAACAAAAAAATTGGACACATTCCAGAAGTACGTAACAGACCAGGAGCACCATGTAACAGAATAGAGACCCTGAATTTGGAGGTGAAGGCTGATGGACATAAAGCTGGTGCTAATACAGAGGCTATAGCCAGCACAGCATCTTCTTGTAAAGGAGTAATATTTTTTGACCTTGGGATTAAAGGATCGGGAGGAACAGCACATGGTGAGGCCCCTCCAAGAACGAGAGCAGTTTGGCTTCGGTTGACTCTCAGCACAGGTTCCTCTGATGGTTCCATAGCTGCCACCTGAAAAACCGTCAAATTTTAATATGGTTCATCATGCTAACAAGAAATCTTAAAACAATGGAAAAGAATGCATGATGAGCAGGAATAAGTTCTAGACCTTGAAGTATATTATGTCACGAGTATTGTGTAGCATATTTCGGCTGCAGAGGATGCACATTTCGGATTTGCAGTTCCAATTTATGCTTATACTGAAGAGGTCACCACTGGAGAGATATCTATCGACTGAAAAGTAATCGTTTAACTCCAAATCTATCAGCTCCTGACGATCTTTTGCTTCATCTGATGAACGGGTTTTCAGACGTTCAAGAGTGCCGCATTCAGGTACCTTCACAAAAGTAGCTCTCAAATGTGACGCGTACTTAGGAAGCTCTCCGTAAGATTGAATCTCGACACTAACCGAAGGTAGTTTTCTTTCATTCCCATTTATTTCGCCATCAGCTTTCGTTTCGAAAAAATACGGCAGTGTCTCTTTCCCCTTCTGCACGACAGATTTCAAGCACGACAGGTGCAGATTCAAGTTAAACGCTAGAATAGGAGATAAATAAGCCACTTGGGGATCTAAAGCTGCCGAATGGTTTTGAGGGTAAGGATACGAAGGAAAGACCAACATTGTGTTAGGGACACGAGCACAAATCGACTCTCCTTCTGAGGGGCTTTCACACTGACTCGGAGGATCCAAGACCACTGCTTGTCCAACTTTACTTACATTGCCATCCATGTTCTTGATGAGCAGCTATACACAAGCAAAAAGGCAAACTTGGCAATGTCATTGATCATGAATAAATCACAAATTCTCGATTCTCACTATCAAAAAATCAGGAGTCGGGATACTGTTCTGATTTATAACCATAAAGATGTCTATGTTAGTAGAACAAACATTTCTAAACCTAACAAATGAACCAAATGGGCTTTACTATACCAACAAATTACACAAAACCAAGATAGTCCTGACGAAATATTATCTTCAACTATATTTCTCGGCTGTAAATTAGCTATCTTCACAGCAAACAACAAACTCAACAACAACAATAACAATAAGAACAACTCCTTTTTCACGGTAATCTCGAACCAAATCATTAAGGGCCTTCCGATTTCATCAACAAAATTCGAAATTGACAAAAAAAGGAAAAAGAAATTAAGAAAACAATACCAGCGACCCGGAAGTAATAGACAATCGTTTGAGCATAGCAGTCGACAGCCCAACCAAAACAGAAGCATCAACTGAACCGACCGTTGCGCCCTCGGAAACTCTGAGAATTCCGGCCGGCGTCCGGGCGCGGGGACCGGCGGAGATTTCGTCAATTTCGTCCGATTCATCGGCGGTTTCTCGAGGATTAAGCAACGAATTCAGAATAGCTCGAGTGGAAGAAAGCACCAGCGGCTTCCTCTTCCTCCTCTCCACCATTACCGCCCAACAATTTGCAGAAAACCCTTGAACTGATCAGTTTAGCTGAGGAAGAAAGTGACATAGGTACAGGTGTTTGTGCGTGCGCGCGCGCAGTGGATATAAACATACAGAGCGAGCTGTAAATTGAGCAACTCGAGGCAGTATGCTTGAGTCTATTAATTTTTTGGTAAAATTACACTTTACCTACTTAATTATCCAAAAATTTATATTTTGGCCACAAAACTTTTTTTTTTTTACATTTTGTCTACTTAACTTTGATTTTTTTGTACACTTTGTCATTTTCGGTCACCGCCGGCGTCATAAACCAATACGTGGCTTTTGTGCCTTATTGCCACGTGTCACCGACAGTGACCAGAAATGGCAAAATGTACAAAAAAACAAAGTTAGGTTGGCAAAATGCAAAAAAAAAAAATAATAATAATAAAAAAATAAAAATAATTAAGCAAAGTGTAAATCTATACTTATATTAAAAGCCATATTATTTACTAAAAATAGTAGCAAAAAAAGTCAATTCACATTTAATGCATACTTTATTTAGAAATTTTTTACTATATGCATTAATTGCTTGCATATATACATTTTCTATTTAAATATGATCAAAAAAATTATTTCCTTAAATAATTTTATTAACTTCTGCAATGATTTTACTAATATATATATTATAATTCATATTTGTCGATAGTATTTTTTAATTTTTATTTGAGTATATAAAAAACAAATATTTTTTTAAATTAATATTTTATTTATCATTTAAGAGATAATGATCACATCATTAAATGATATTACTGATGGCTAGATAATAAATTAAAATACATTAATTATTATTTAAAATTTTGACATGTTATTTATTTGTATCTATACTTATTATATTAAGTATCCTATTTACCAAATTTAGAAGATTGAAAAGTCAACGTAATTAACGCATTGCTATTTTTATCCCGAATTTTATTTAGTTATTTTATTTATTTGTCTTATATCCCATAAAATCAGTTTAAGAAAAAAAATCTCATAACATATGACAAGTGAAAAAAAAAAGAAGTAAAATTTTTACTAAAATAAAAAGACTTTATTTATTTGTCTTATTCCATATTAACATTGATTTTGTCAAAATAAATCCCATAAAATCAGTGAAGTCAAAATTTGTACGTAAAGTCTATCTATATAAAAAAAAAGTCAGATTTAAAATTCCTTATCTAATTCCTTCTTTTTCTTATCTAATTCCTTCTTTTCCTTATCTAATTCATTTATATTATCTAATTGTATGAAAACCTGTTCTAATTTTGTTCAATCATCTAATTGTATTTGTATTATATTCCATAAAATCGGTTTAACAAAAAAAATCTCATAATATCCGATAAGTAAAAAACAAAATACGTAAAATCTTTACTAAAATAAAAAAAGCTTATTTATTATTTAATTTATTATCTAATTGTATGGAAATCTGTTCTGATTTTATGGTACGTACTACAAATTGTGCACCCGTGTTCAGGAGCTACTTAACGGGCCAGCTATGTGAAAATGACTCATTTAGTGCTTCTGTCTCGTGCATACGGTATGTATTTTTATCACACATACTAGAAAACTGTGCACTCCGTGCATCGCACGGGCTCTGTACTAATAAATGACCTTAAAATTGTGCACCCCGTGCATCACCCGTGTTCACATTTTGGCCTATTACAGGTCACGTACTATATATATCTCGTACATTTTTTTATTCATTTATATAATTATAAGAATGAATAAATGACCTTAAAATTGTGCACCCCGTGCATCGCACGGGCTCTGTACTAGTTTCCAGTTATGGATGGAAAATGTAATTTTCCCTAATTTTTCTTTTATTGAGATTATTAATTAAATGGTATGATTGTTAGGTAAATTCTATGCTTTTTTTTTTTT